AAGTTTGACATTTTTTGAAACAATAATATAAAATGGTTTCTCAAAGTCGAAGACTTTGAAGATTATTTAGACATATTATGGTAAGAACAGAGAGAGATGATGAAACTTCTTATTCAGTGATGTTAAATTGGGCCTGTAGCTTTTGTTGGATGAGTAAGATTTTCGATTTCAGGCCCAACATTTCTGCACAGAACAGAGAAACAGTCAAGTGTGGAACACAAAAAAATTTTGATTTTTTTTGTAAGTTCTTAACTTCACTTACTTGTGAGACTGATCCTCTGTAATTTCCTCTGTTCCTTGCCTCAGTTCTTCTATTGTAGCTTCCGTTGGCTGAGTAGGATTTTCGATTTCAGGTTCAACATTTCTGCACAGAAGAGAGAAACAGTGAGTGTAAAAACAGAAAAGTTTTGATTTTTATGTAGTGCTTAACTTCACTTACCTGTGAGAGTGATCCTCTGTAATTTCCTCTGTTCTTCTTGTTCCTAGCCTCAGTTCTTCTATTGTAGCTTTCCAATTCGGACATTTCTCAGCTCTGTATATCTCTAGATTCGGGAATCTAACTCCAGCAGTCCATACAACAGGCGAATCAAGGAGGTAAAGCTTGCGAAGATTCGATAATACTACGTCTTCTTCTTCTTCAAACAATCTCTCGAGTTGATCGCAGAACGTCACACGAAGAGTCTCGAGTTTATCAGGAATCTCCGGGAAGAGAATTTTGATGTTTCGACAACAATCTATGCTTAGCTTCTTAAGGTTCTTGAAGATGAATCCTCCTTTAGTAATGTGTAAGCTTTTAAGCAATGGAAGATTTGAGATCCAAAGAGTCTCCAATGTTGTTGTCTCTTTCTCTTGTTTCTCATCTAATGTGAAGAGAGTCTCCATCTTCTTGCATCTCTCTACCCAACAACCTTTAACCGATCTCATCTTAAAGTTGTCGAAGATCGAAGATACGCTTGCGGATTCATTCTCTGAAATGGAGACATACTCTGCTTTGGATATAACCTCTGTTCCAAGATCCTTTGATGTTTTAATATCAATGATATTCAAAGGACTTTCAGGATCAAGATCTTTGTATCTATTGCCTTGATGAACAAGTTTGTCGTTTTTACCGCCGGTTTTCTCCGCTACATTAGAGAAGCTAGATCCCTCTGACTTCATCGCTAAACACTCTTTTATTTGGCTCCAATTTTCTCGTTCTAAACACGTCGAATCTGCGAGAACAATGAGTTTTGGAGAAGAGAGGATGCTCTCTTTTGGTAGCTCTGGAAACGTGTTGAGTTTAGTACCAGAGAGATTCACTTTGCGAAGGTAAGACATCTTCTCGAATGATCCCTCGATTTTCGCCAACTCGGTGCACCCCGAAACATCGAAGATCTCAAGATGTATTAGCTTCTCAAGATTTGGAAGATCATTTAGCTTGGAGCAGTTTCTTATGATGAGCTCTTTGATGTTAGGTAGCCCTGAGACTTTGTTAGGTAACTCACCGAGATTGGTTTCCGAAAGATTCACTTCCCGGAGGTTAGACATCTTCTCGAATGATCCATCGATTTTCGCCAACTCGGTGCAGCCCGAAACATCGAAGATCTCAAGATGTATTAGCTTTTCAAGATTTGGAAGAGCCTTTAGCTTGGAGCAGTTTCTTATGATGAGCTCTTTGATGTTAGATAGCTTTGAAATGTTGTTAGGTAACTCACTGAGATTCGTTCCGGAAAGATTCACTTGGTGGAGGTAAGACATTTTCCCAAAGGATCCATCAATCCTCTCCAAATTATTGCAACCCGAAACATCGAAAACCTCAAGGTGTGTCAGATTCTCAATGCTTGGAATCCATGTAATCTTGGAGCAGTTTCTTACTAGAAGCTGATTAAGATTGGTAACAGCATTGATCGTGTCCGCTAACTCAGGAAGAATCGTCTCTGAAATATCGAGGGTTCGAAGCTCGTTCTTCTCCTCTAAACACACTTCAAGCATCTCCACTAACTTTGTAGCACCAGAGACATCAAGAATCAGAAGTTTAGTCAATGGATTAAGCTGTGGCAATCTCTTAAGCCTTGTACAGTTTCGAATCAAGAGCCGAGTCAGTGTTGGCATTGTGCTGTAACTTGAGTCATGAAAGATCGGTAGTCGAATGATTTGAGTCTCCGAGAAGTCTAAGTGTTCGAGCCGTCGAAGATGAGCGAAGTTCTTGTTCTTGCCTTTATAGTCTTTCCAATCTTTAACTCTATCGAAGTAAGACTCGAGTTTCCGAGCTCCACGAATGTCGATAACTTCTAGTTCTTTTGTTGCCACATTGAAGTTAGGTAGATCTTGTAACTCAGAGCAGTCTCTTAGGATGAAACAGCGGAGCTCGCTTAGATTTTCGATTGTGGAAGGCGATGATTTGATTGGGAGTCCTGAAAGGTTAAGACTTTGAAGCTCACTCATGTTCTTGAAGAAATCATCAGGAATGTTAGTCAGAGAACTTGCACCAGAGACTTCAAGAACATGTAGGCCTTGAAGAACCGCGAGCTTATCGATGTTTTCGATTAGATCGCAGTCTCTGATCACGAGTACTCGGAGTTTCTTTAGTTTAGATAAAGATGAAACAAGATCTTGAAACGTTGGATCAAAGAGGACAACAACTTCAAGATCTTGCATCTCTTTTTGCTCAAAGAACTTCCCATGAACCTCTCTACGCAGGCGATTTCCGCTAACGATAATCGTCTTGATCTTCTCCTTCTTAGATTGAATTGTCTGAATCATATCATCGATCAAGATGATTCTCCCAAGCCCTTTTGTCTTGTCTCCACCATATACTCTGTTGAATCCAAGACAAGATCTTCCAAAGAATCCACAATCTTCAAGATCTAATAGATCTCTCATAGACACCTCTGGAACCACCATGTTGTCTTCTTGAACCTTCAAGATTCCTCTGTTCATAAACTCCATTAAAATTGCATGTCCGTCGTGATAAGCTTTCGCAACCGACTTAACCGGATCAAAATACCCTTCAAGCATCCAATGCACGATTAGGTCGCGGTAGTAAGCGCATCCAGAGTACTCGTAGAAGTCAAGGACATGCCAAAAGCAAGCAATGAAAAGACTTTTGACCGTCTCATCGAGCTTTAACAGCTCGTAGCTTAAACGCAAGACGGCGTTGTAGCGGCTGAGATCTTTAGCGTTCTTGGAAGCAGCGGCTGCATCTAATGACTTGGAAGATAGGATTAGTTCTTTGAAGATGTTCCTCTGTTTCGCAGACAGCGGCATGATGCTGTTTAGTGACTTGGACTTGATGCTTTTTAGTGTCTTGGTTAAGACAACAATTGCAGCCGGTAAGCCCTTGCTCTTGGTCACAATGCAAGACATCAAAGTAGGTTCTTTGATCTCTCCGTTTTTGCAAAGGCTCTCCAGTAAAACTGGCCAATCTTCACCGGTATAGGACTCGAGTAACTTCTCTGAATCGCGGAGTAAGTCCAATGAGTCTTTTTCTGTTAGCGGACCGACTTTGATTGTTGTCGTTGATTCAACCTCCTTTTCTTCATCTCTTCTTATGACTAGAGTCTTTAGAGTTGTTGAGTGTTGCTTAAGAAACCCTTTTGTTGAGTGTTGCTTAAGAAACCCTTTTAGGTTTAGGACTTCCATTACATGTTTTTCGGTTGTCATTTTTCCTTCATCATCCAAAATCAAGAGAAGATTCTTCTTCATCTTGATGACCTTTTCTGTTATATTCTTCTGCAAGCTCTCCAGTGAATCATCTTTCTCATTGTCTTCTTTTTCGCCTTCTTCGTATTCGTGAAATAACGAAAACTGAGCTGCTAGATTCTCGTAAAGCGACTTCTCGTCACCAATCTTTCTGTTCAAATTTAACCAGAAGACATTGTAAGACGAAGATTTTCCTTCAGTTACACGTTCGCTGACTTGTTTTGCAAGCCATGTCTTGCCTATACCAGCTTCACCAACGAGGACAGTTCTTGAATCGACACCATCTTGTCCAAATGATGCTATTATCTTCTTGATAGTCTCTCCTCTCTTCTCTTGCTTGTCCATTTCTTGAAAAAAAAAATGAGATTTAGAAGCTTAGGTTAGAGAAAGTAACCTTATTTTGATTAAAACTAACTTATTTTCGAGTTTGATCAGTTCAATCTGAATCATTTTATGCTTTTTAAAAATAATAAGTTAATTGAATTCCAGAAATTTAAATTCAAATAAACATAAATAGAGAAAATGAGAAGAACCTGAAGTGTGTTTAGAATGACTGATCAGGTTGGTTTTCTCCATTGATA